TGCATTAAATGTGTAAATTGCTTTTGGTAGTATTGCCATTTTCACAACATTGAGTCTTCCTATCCATGAGCAAGGGATATTCTTCCACTTTTCAACATCTCTTTTTGTTTCTTATAGTAATGTTTTGTAATTTTCTTGGAAAAGGTCCTTTGTACTTCTGGTTAAATTTATTCCCAAGTATTTAATCTTATTATTAGCTAGTTTTGGGAGGGGCAGGGGAGGGGCTTCCTTCTCAGTTTTCAGCACCATCTTAGGAGAAAGGCATAAGGATTTATCTTTAAATACTAAGGTGTATCTGACCCCAAACATGGTATTTTCAAGTACTTTACATGGTTGGGAAAACTGAGTAGTCAATAAAGAAAACTGAATTGATATCTTTGAGTTGTGGTGTTAGTGAAGAGTACTGAATATACTATGCACTGTGAAAACAAATCTATGCTGTGTATTCAGGGTGCTCTTATGGGCAAGGATGGTGAGACTTTGTTCACATTATTTTGGGGATGGCACCGAGAGGGGCGTTCATAGAAAGGGACATCATACTTGGAAACATAGAGGGCCAGAGGACAGGAAGCCCTTGACAAAAGATAGACACAATGACTGCAGCAATGCGCTTGGGCACAGCAAAAATGGTGGGGCAAGTTTTAGATGGGTTGCAGCGGATTCCAGATCAATCGGAAGTGACTTGCTTGTACTTAAGAACAACACTGTTGATCACTGTAACATTACTTTGCCTTAAGAAAGCTACATCAAAGATCGACTCATCCCTAGAACGCCCGCCTCTAGGTTGATACTGTATCTTATTAGCTGGGAATCAGTAACAAATTTATTAGACTTCAGTTGCCTTATATTTAAAATTATATAAACGAGACCAGATATACAGATAAATTTACTTCAAAGGATGTCCTTAATAATCAAAACAAAAAACAATGTTAATAAATGGACCTAATAAGCTGATGCAAAGAATGCATGACAAGAAAATACGGCAGAAAGGTTAGATTAATTTAATTCTATGGCCTACTTTAAAAAAAAAAAAAAAAGGCAAAGCAAAGATACATGAGTAAACAGCAGAAATGACCAAACTCCAGCTAATCACAAGTATAAAGCACGTGGCCGATCTATTCCCGCCACATTCATAAAATCAAAATTGTATTCAAATCTATAATTGCGCTTAACTCATGACTTTAAATAAGCAAACCAAGGAGCAATGTGCAAGATCTAAACACGAAGGGGGATTAGACTACGTACCACACCAGCCTGCCGGCCACTCGGCAGCTCCGGGCGGCCCCGCACCAACCCCGCCGCACACTCAGCCCCGTCCCGCACGCTCAGCCCTGTCCGAGCGCACCGGAAATTGATCATGCCACCGCCCACCGCTCCTCCCGCACGGGCCGCCCGAGCGCCCTCATTGGTCTGTTATATAGGGCCGTGGAGGGCGAGGAGGTCCTGTGTGGATCCCGTCTCCCTCTTCTCCGCCCCCTTGTTGTTGTGCACCCTGGAGTAAGGCAGATCCAAGCCCCTCCAGTGGGTTTTCAGGGCCAGTTAATCTCTCGGGAGCATCCTTTTCCCGCCATGGCTCCTCGCCCCGTAAGAGCCACCAAAGCCACCTAGCACTGTATACTTAAAATGTAGCACTGCAACACTAGATGCCGCGTAACGTCTCTGTCGAGTCTTCGGACCTCCGAGGAGGGAATGCTCCTACATCCTTAACTGAGGTTTAGCTGTCTTAATGAGGATTCCCAAATGAATTGCCCAAGGTGACAGGGGCTTGGTTTCTGATGTCAAATGTCAAAACCACGTCACTCAGGATGTCCGGCTAAGTAGCTAAGAAACTGAGGCAGATAATAGGATACACCCAGAGATACATGAGGTGAAGCTCTGTTGTTTACACAATAGAGCCAGGCCCGACTACTTCTTTCCTACACTTATCTCCCACAGAAGCATCTTGATGACATGCATGTATCCCCTTAGGCCCTGTATCAAAACATACTGTCAGTTTTTACTCCCTTTCTTCACTGTAGTTGATTTCGAGTACTTAGTCTTTAAGTATGACACCTTCCAAAAGGAAAACTACCCCAAAATCAAAAACACTGTTGAGAACTGAAACTGACATAGTTATTTCAAGACTGGTTTCTCCTGTAATGGCGCCTGCGTCAGACACTAACATGGCGGACATAATCGTGCGCGACGCAAACGTCAGCAGCTCTACCCCATCCGCACAGGAACAGAACAGGAAAGCAGAGATGCGCTCTCTCATTGGTTGGAAGGAGAAGCGTGCGCGTACAGGCGTTCCTACAGCAGCCAATCAAGAAGACGAAAGACGGAACTGGTCGCAGCGCCGCCTCCCGAGGTATGCTGGGAGCCTGGAGGACTAGCGAGGAGTAGTTGAGAGAACGGAGCAGACGCCATGGCGACCAACATCGAGCAGATTTTTAGGTCTTTCGTGGTCAGTAAATTTCGGGAATTCCAACAAGAGCTTTCCAGGTAAGCTTTTTCCAAGCCTTTCTGCTTTCAAAGAAGAGTTGGAGCCTGATACAGCTTCACATGACGCCTTTCTTCAGAAACTCTGTCGTTCCTCGGCTCAGGCCCCGCTACAGCCCCGCCTGGGCCTGGGATCCATTTTCCGCTTCCCATCCCCCATCCGCTTTTCTCATATGTGCGAGGAACTTGTCCCTTTTCTCACGTAACCTGAGACTCTTGCATATATAACAGTCGGTAGGTTTGCCCATCCCTTATGCTCGATCACCCCCTAGGCCAGAGCTACTTGTAGGCCTGGTTATCCACCGGCGCGGGGCCTACTTCCTTCCTCGGCTCCTCCTCCGCCGCCGCGTCTCCCCTCCCCCTCTCAGCTTTGGCGGATTTCGCCGGCCGGTGCCGGTAACCGGAAAGGGTCTCTAACGGCCGTTTCTTGGGTAATCTCAAATCCGCTTTGTTATTTGTAAGCTTCACATAATTTGGGAGTCAGCATTCATTAATTAGATTATTTGGGCCCTACTGCCTTGTGAATTCCACCTGGCAACAGTGTTAGATGAGAGGCAAAAGCATTTGGAGTGAGTGGTAATGGAAGAGTTTGGGATCGTAATAATTTTTAAATTTTTGCAAACAAAGTGAAATTTGTAGTTTGTATGATTTCCCCCCCCCCCCTTGCCACTGCTGCCTGTCTCATTTGACGTACTTGACCAACACTCTACTGTCACTGGTACACCTTAAGGAGATTTGCGCATATAGAAAGGGAAGGGGTATCTATAACGAAATGGTTCTTGTGTTGTTCAGGGCTTGCCATATTACTTTTCCTTTATTTAAGGTATTTTTTGAAGTGCAACAGTTGAAAATGTTTTTGTTAGTAGCACTTTTATGGTGGAGACCAACACCAGTACGTAAAATTTGAAAATTTGTCTGAAACACAGTTGTAAATTGAGCAACCAAATGAACATGCTTATTTGAGCAATGAGTAATATTACTGATTTCCCAAACGGCTTAGTTTTACATGGAATATTATATTTCCAAGTAAGAAATATATTCCATTTTTTAAAAAGAAATTGTATGATATACTAGTAAAGTGGAATTTAGCTGATAACTTTCTGGTAGTTGTATGTAATATATAGTGTTTGCTTGGTATAGAACGATTTAAAAAAACACCGGTTTTAAATGCAGAAATGTAGGCTAAAATTCAGAGAACAAGAACTCCCCTCTCCCAGTTAAATTTTTAGTCTTCCTGTTCATATATGTTATATTGTGCCACTGAGTCAGAATCAACTCATGGCTAATCCTTAATAAGTTTTTCAGAAACTGTAGGCCATCAGAGCTCCTTTTGTGCATCTTGTGTGATACGTAATTTGTCGTTGATTTTTTTGGGGGGGTATTTTTTTTCTCATCTGTTTTGTGAACAACAGTGCATTCTCATTAGTCTTGCAACATTTTTCTTGGCTGCACAAATTCTAATATCGAAATGTATTGTTCGATTTTTAGATTGTCTGGAATTTTTATTGCTTTTTAGTAATTTTGATTTGCATTTGTTTAAGAGTGAATTTTTATTTTTAAAAGTTTTTTTGCTTTTGTTTTCCCCAGGCTGGGATCCTTTAGAAATGTAATTTTAGGTGTTTGGGAAAAATGAAATGAAGTGCTCTATCTAGAAAGGCCAAAGGAGTCCTAGGCACTTAGTGATAAGGAGCTGAGCTGCTGGCCAAAGACATAAAGTTTGAATCACCAGCTTCTCTGCAGGAGAAAAAATGGGCAGTCTCCTTCTGTGCAGTTTTGTGCCGCTGGAAACCCACCAGAGGATCAACTGTGGATCAGTTCAGAGTCAGTGTTAATACAACAAAAGAAAGTAATTTCTTACTGGGGGAATATGCAACTTCCTTCTAATGTTATTCTTCCAAAACCAAATTTTAGATTATTTGCATTTAAATGAATTCCACTCCTTTCCCAGATACTCTCCCCTGACCTTTTTAGATATGATATTATAGGTAATGAAGCTAGCATTAAGTGTATACAAGAAGTAATGTGTAGCCTAGAGTCAGAACCAATTCTGTAGCTGACTCTCTGGTGGGTTTTCAGAGGCAGTTAATTGCACAGGAGGAGATAACACCCAAATCATGTATAGCCAAATCATCCCACTGATGATACCTAGTCAGTTACAACTCATACTGATCTTATAGGACAGAATAACAAGCCCTTTAGAATTTCCAAGGCTGTAATCTTGATAAGAGCAGGTTACCATGTATTTTCTGCCATGGAACATTAGTTGGATTTCAACCTCTGACCTTTTTGTCTAGCAGTTTGGTGCTTGAACCACAGTGCTACCAACATCTGAAACCATTACGTTGTAATTCGTAGTTAATAGGATGCTCAGATATTGAATAGTAGCAACTTAATCTCTCAATAAGCTGTGACATTCACAGGTTTCTTGTCCTTTGCCTTGTTTTTCTCACGTAATCAAATTATAATAGTATGATCATAGAGATTTGTTAGTATGTATAGTATGAAACCTAGTCCGTGTGAATTCTGTGGATCATTGTAATAGAAACCCAAGGGGAGCTCTGGTGGCCTAGTGGCAAGGAGCTGCAACTACAATCCCAGAGGCTCACGGTTCGAATCCACCAGATGCTCTGCCGGGAAGGAGGGACAATCTCCTGTACCAGTCAGATCTGATTTGACGGTACACTCACACAAAAACAATTAAAAAAAAAAAAAAAGAAAAGAAACCCTAAAGCGCCTTTAGTATGTATCTATATACTCACTCTTTTGTTGTTTTTGATTATTGAGATTGTTACCATTTAATGGAACATGTTTCTTGTATTTTGTTTGCCTACATAGAAATAATACAGCTATTCATAAACTTTTATCAATATTTTTAGGCTCTTTGCATTGAAAATATTTTTACAGTTAAGTGACGCTGTTAAAAAACAGAAATCTAAAAAAAAAAACCCAGAAATCTTTTTAGTTCTAGTCTAGGGTTTTTATAAATGGTTCTGTTTTCATAAAAGTGTGTGTATATTTTTAAATTTTGTAGCATTCCCAATCCCAGAGGTATGCAGTTTGAATACACCAGATGCTCTGCTGGAGAAGGAGGGACACTCTTCTCCTGTACCAGTCAGATCTGATTTGATGTTACACACCAAAATAAAAAAATATATATAAAATTTACATTTTATAGCATTCCATTATCAATTGAAAATTGAACCGAGGCTGCACATTAGTTTTATTAAATCAGTATGTTTGTGAATAACTTGTGTCTTCTAGTATATTGCTGAGATATTCTGATCTTTGACAGGCATGGCTTTAGTGTGACCTTAGTTTCTATCAATTTATATACTACATATATTTTTTGGGTAGTGGTTTTTGACGTGGCAATTTTTCTTCTCTGAGAGAATTAGCTAGGTGATTCCAAAGCTTCAATCTAGAATTTGGGGAGTATTTTTAGAAGAATAAAATAAGTTTATATTCATGCTTCTGAAAACAACAAGAGTTATGTCCAGAGTCAAAGCAGCACTATTATTTGGAATAGTACATTTAAAAAAAGTGGACACTTTGATTTAAGATTAATTTATTCATTATACTGTCAATATTTTATCATTCGTCTATTAAAATATTAATGAATTTTGATAATTTTTGTCAAGTGGAAGGAACGAAGGCCAGCTGAATGGTGAAACCAGTACGCCTATTGAAGGAAACCAAGCAGGTGATTCAGCTGCTTCTGCTAGGAGCCTACCAAATGAAGAAATAGTGGAAAAGATAGAAGAAGTACTTTCTGGAGTTTTAGATACCGAACTACGATATAAACCTGGTAAGTGCGAGATAATCAACTGTCTAAAACACTTTTTGTTAGTGTTTTCTCCCCTTAATTTTGATGTTAAAATTGTTGCTTTTAAACTACAGGGTATTTAAAAGGTTCATAAGCTCTATAACTTTTGTGCATTCATTGCTTATTTTGTTTAAATCGGTCTTTGGAAATGCAATTATACTGAAAGGTGAAAATTAATGCACTTAATTGTTTTACTGGTGGAATATACCTTTTATTTTAAGTCAGTCTTGTAGTACTTTAGTGCCAGGATTTTAAGTATGGATTCTTATTTTGATACTTCATAAGTACTGATGTAGAAGACAACAGAGGCCTTGTTCAGATCTATAGTAGTTGTGGTTTTTTTTTTTTAAAAAACCTTTGAATGTTGTTTAAAGCCTAAATTTAGACTTTGTTTTTTATTTTACACTTCTTAAAAGTGTAATGAAATAGAAAGGGAATCATTGTTTGGATGTTTGAATTTTTCAAAATAGATAAGGTAATTGATACAAGCAGTGGACTTATAATCAGGCATAAAAATAATAGGATTTTTATATCATCTTGGAACTAAAATGAACTTTATCAGTTTTTTGGAGTTAGAATATAGTTTGAAAATCTGTATTTCATTTGTGGTTAGAATTATGACTGGAAGTTTTATAATAGCTAAATTTGCATTTGGTGTTATAAAGTAAATATTGTTTATTAATAACTGATTAATGTTGTAACAATTTTCCCTCCCTCTGTAATGACCTGGACCTCTCATTGGATTTCCCTCTTTCCCGCAAAATAAATTTATCAAATTTGATACTTAATATTAGATTAAGTCCCAACTGATTGTAAACTGAGTTAAGAATTCTCTTTTAGCATTGCTGTTGTTGTTATGTGCCGTTGCGACTTATAGCCATCCTATGTACAACAGCCCTAAACCCTGCTCTATACTGTGCCAATCGCACTGCCTCTGACACAGCCATCCTGATTACCCCAGTCACTGAATCAGTCCACCTCATAGAGGGTCTTCCCCTCTTCTGATGTCCTTCTCCAAGGACCCCTCCCTCCTTACAACATGTCCAAAGTATGTCAGACGAAGCCCCAGAGTCCTTGCCTCTAAGGAGCAGCCTGGTTTAACACTCTCTAGGATGAATCTGTTTGTTTTCTTAGCAGTCCATGGTACATTCAATACTCTTCTCCAGCACCACAGCTTAAAGGCATCAATTCTCCTATCTTTCCTAGTCATTGTCCAACTCTCTGATGCATAACAAGTGATAGCAAAGACCATGACCTGTATCATACGCACCTTAGTCTCCAGAGTGACACCAAGGCTCTTCAGTACTTTGGAGAGGTCCTAACAGCCGACTTTGGCATCGCAATATGTTTTTTTTATTTCCTGCCTGCTGGTACCAAGAGTGTTGACCGTGGAGCCAAGCCGACTAAAGTTGTTAACAATATGCAAATACAAAATACTCTTGTTATATCACATGCTAAAGGCAATTAGGTTTTATCCAAAAATTCACTTTTTAAAAATACTGTGTTTTATACAGTCTTTGATTTATATTACATTTCATGCCGAATAATGAACTTTTTTTTTACCATTCTTCCTTATAACGTTAATTACCGCTGATCTATGCCTGCTACTACCCTGTGTTTTCAGATCCCCTCTGGTTCTTTCTTAATTCCTTCGCCACTCCCTCCACAAGTAAGATGTGTATAAATGTCCAAAGAGAGAGGAGGAGAGGAGGTAGGTGGGCTGAGGGGAATGGTTGACAGTGATTCTCCGCCCTGCCTACCTACCTCCTCCCCTTTCTTTTTGGATATTTATACACATCTTACTAGTTATTCTTCTCTTAACAATAATGTTCTTAAGCTGTATTTGTCCTTAGAAGAATAAGTTCATTTAGCAAAATAACTTGTTTTTACTTTTTTAAAAAAGTAAACATTGAGAAAATGTAGTAAGTTTAAAAGAATATTTGGGTAAAGATTTTAAAATAGGAATGGTAATTTTGAGGTTTATTTTGATTACTTTTGTCAGATGTTTGTGTACTATAGTACACATATATGAAAGCTACCACTACCACATTTGCTGAATGCTTAGTATGTACCAGACTTTGTTCAGCTTATTTTGTGCTTTGGCTCAGTTTCCAAACTCTGGAAGGCACTAGGAGCTTCAGTAATTTGGCCTAGACCATCTTGTAGTGAGCTCTGGTGGTTTGTTGGTTAAGAAGTTTTGCTGCCGACACAAAGGCAGGTGGTTGGGACTTAGCAGCCACTCCTAGAGATATAGATGGACAAGTTCCTCCCTTGTAATTTGCAACCTCTGAATACCCTAGAGGGTTAGCTGTGAGTTGTTACTAATTTCATAGCACTTAATGAGAGATCAAAGGTCAATAATTTGGCCTAGACCATTTTTCTGGGGAAGGACTGTTGAATTTGATTCAGGATCCAAAGCATGCATATATCCTAGTCAAAAAAAGGTCGCACAACTTCAAGACTAATTGTTACAAGTTGTATATGCAGAGATTGTTTATTGGTATGTGTTTTGTGTAGTTTTGTATACACAAATTAAAAAGTTAGTATGTTTCACCCTTTAGGAATTTTAAGAGTAATATGAAATAGTCATTGATAGGTGTAAAGATAACTTGCCAGAGGGTAATTTTAATATAGTAAAATACATGTTATTGTAATTCTAATTTAAGTTTTAGGGAACAAACTTAAGATTACTTTTTAACCTACATTTTATTTCTCAATAAAAGGTATTGAGAAATAGTTTATATAGCAGTTTTGTATCTTATTAACACATTTTTAAGGCATATATGTACAGTGTATTCAGAAAATTCGTAGTTGCCAAGTCAAAATCAATTCACAGCTGTCATGCTAGTTTTCAGAAGCTGTTAATTACATGGGAGGAGATTATCCACCTCTCTCCCTTGTAACTTCTGGCAGGTTCAAACTGCCTGAGAGGCATGTATTTGGGTTAGCAGTGTACTTTCTTGCCCATCAGAATTGTATTACTGTGTAAATATGAATGCATAGCTTTTGAGTACGGTAAGATGTCATGCTATGATGTTTTAGTGTGGAATGTAAATTTTGGTTTATGATTTCTTTAAAATCAATTTGAAGAGTTGTTTAACAATATTTATTTATGTATCTTAATTTCAGACTTGAAGGAGGCTTCCAGAAAAAGTAGATGTGTATCTGTACAAACAGATCCTCCTGATGATGAAATTCCAACCAAAAAATCAAAGAAACATAAAAAGCACAAAAATAAAAAGAAGAAAAAGAAGAAAGAAAAGGAGAAAAAAGATAAAAGGCAACCAGAAGAATCTGAGTTAAAGCCTAAATCTTATCATGATGGGAACATAGATAGAGAATCTGATTCTTTTTTAAAGTTAGATTCTGAACCTTCAGCAGTGGCACTGGAACATCCTTTAAGAGTGCTTGGCTTACCTGAAACCAGTGATTCTTCTGCAGTTGTGCTAGAACCCCCTCCACTTGCAATGGAGGTATCAGAGCCACACAGTTTAGAAACTCTGAAGCCAGCTATAAAAACTGCAGACCTGTCTGTTGCATCTACATCAGTAATGTCAGAGCATTCTGTGGCAGTAATGCTAGAACCGTCCATGTCAGAGATTACGGATTCCTTTGCAACAGCACCAGTGCCTGCTACAACACTAGTGCTAAAGCCATCTGAGCCAGTTGTAACAATGCCAGTGGATTATCAGATGAAGTCTTTGGAGAGTTCATCTCCAGAGCCATCAAATATCTTTTTGGAAGAGCCTCCAGTTGCAAAATCACTGGAACCAACAGAAACTCTTGTGGATTCTTCAGAGACACCTATTGAGGTACACAGTGAGCCAAGCACATCAACAGTGGATTTTCCAGAGTCATCTGTACCTGAAGTGCTAAGATTTCCAGAGCAGCCTGTAGATGTACCATTGGAGATTGCAGATTCATCTGTGACAAGACCACAGGAGTTGCCGGAGCTGCCTAAGACCACAACGTTGGAGCTGCCGGAGTCGTCGGTGGCCTCAGCGATGGAGTTGCCGGGGCCACCTGCGACCTCCATGCCGGAGTTGCAGGGGCCCCCTGTGACTCCAGTGCTGGAGTTACCTGGGCCCTCTGCTACCCCAGTACCAGAGTTGCAAGGGCCCCCTTCTACCCCAGTGCCCGAGTTAACAGGGCCCTCTGGGACTGTAGTGTCTGAGTTGCCGGGGCCCTCTGTGACACCAGTGCCACAGGTGCTGCAGGAATTGCCTGCACTCCCAGCGTCATCCGTTGGGTTGGAGCCACCACAGGAGGTCCCAGAGCCACCTGTGATGGCACAGGAGTTACCAGGGCTGCCTGTGGTGACAGCAGCAGCAGAGTTACCTGGGCAGCCTGTGGTAACAGCAGTGGAGTTGACCGAACAACCTGTGACGACGACAGAGTTGGAGCAGCCCGTGGGAATGACATCGATGGAACATCCTGGGCAACCTGAGGTGACAACGGCAACAGGGTTGCTGGGGCAGCCTGAGGCAGCGATGGTGCTGGAGTTGCCAGGACAGCCAGTGGCAACAACAGCGCTGGAGTTGCCGGGGCAGCCTTCGGTGACTGGGGTGCCAGAGTTGCCAGGGCTTCCTTCGGCAACTAGGGCACTGGAGCTGTCAGGGCAGCCTGTGGCAACTGGGGCACTAGAGTTGTCTGGGCAGCTTATGGCAACTGGGGCACTGGAGTTCTCGGGGCAGTCTGGGGCAGCTGGAGCACTGGAGCTTTTAGGGCAGCCTCTGGCAACAGGGGTACTGGAGTTGCCAGGGCAGCCTGGGGCGCCAGAGTTGCCTGGGCAACCTGTGGCAACTGTGGCGCTGGAGATTTCTGTTCAGTCTGTGGTGACAACATCGGAGCTGTCAACGATGACCGTGTCGCAGTCCTTGGAGGTGCCCTCGACGACAGCGCTGGAATCCTATAATACGGTAGCACAGGAGCTGCCTACTACATTAGTGGGGGAGACTTCTGTAACAGTAGGAGTGGACCCCTTGATGGCCCAGGAATCCCATATGTTAGCTTCTAACACCATGGAGACCCATATGTTAGCGTCCAACACTATGGACTCCCAGATGCTAGCGTCCAACACCATGGACTCCCAGATGCTAGCATCCAACACTATGGACTCCCAGATGTTAGCAACCAGCTCCATGGACTCCCAGATGTTAGCCACTAGCTCCATGGACTCCCAGATGTTAGCCACCAGTTCCATGGACTCCCAGATGTTAGCCACCAGTTCCATGGACTCCCAGATGCTAGCCACCAGTTCCATGGACTCCCAGATGCTAGCCACCAGTTCCATGGACTCCCAGATGCTAGCC